GTAAGACATCGAGGCCTCGGGTATAAATGGTCGAGGGTCGATGCACTAGTGTCGGGGCTCTGGGTATAAATGGTCAGGGGCCGACACTACCGACAGAATGGTTTCGAAGAGCTTGAATAACTGAGGCGAACATAGATGTATTTTAGGTGTTAGGGAGCCAAGTGGACAGTAGTTGTTTTTATATGAGCGTGGTTAGCATCGGGTCTTATAGAGCATGTTTATGGTTGAATGTATAATGTAATAGTAGAGCATGTCTATGGTTATTCGCATATTGTAATGATAGAGCATGACAATATATGTTTCCTTTATGGTTATGAGCATGATGTTTGTGTGTGCTTGGTGAGGGTTACTTACGGAGTATATTTTATATACTCACCTCCCCCTCTACAATGATTGTTTCAGGTGAAGGACTCGTGGGTGGCCACGGTGATGGGACGGAGGAGACATGACGAGCGAGGACCATAGGCTGCTTAGTTATTCCTGTTTAGTTTAAGTCATTGGTTAAGGCCTTATGTTGTGGCCAATAAACGGTTTATTTGTATTTGAATAATTGTGAGATTTTTTTCCTTGTGGTTAGTTTTGCTTCGGGATAGGTGCCTGTTTGAGTTTTATTCCATTTGTTTAGTTTTATATAGATTGAATAATAAACTTGCCTCGTGAAGTGGTTCACGAACGTTGTTGAATTTTATTCCATGAGATTGATTTATCGTTAGATTGATGGGGATTGAAACTTGATTTTATAAGTTTGTGTGCATAGGAAGTTGGCAGGCTGTAGTCGGGGTTAAATTTGATTAGTTGGGTAGTTAACGTGACCTAGAGGTGTGCGGAAAATTCTGGGTCGTTACACTGCGCGTGTATGTTCTACAGTCCAAGGCTTTGGATTCTTCTTCAATCTGTCATATAGTGGCCGACAAATTGTACAGAGATCTTCAATAAAGTCTCCAACGTAATTCACACAACCCAAAAATCGCTGTAGTTGTGTTTTGTCTTGTATGACATCTGGAAATTTATCTACGAATTCCAGAGACCGTTGGATTGGTTTGATAATCCCTTGATTAATATCATAACCGAGAAATCTGACCTTTGTTTGGAACAACTTAATCTTCGGCTGGGAGACCACAAGACCATTTGTTCTTATAATATTGAGGAATAACTGGAGATGCTTGAAGTGCTGATCTACAGTATTCGAGAATACCAGAATGTCATCAATGTAGACTATTGTGAATTCTTGGTATTTGTTGAAGATATCGTTCATAATCTTCTGAAATTCAGGAGCATTCTTCAATCTGAATGGCATGATGTTCCATTGATATTGTCCGAATGGAACATTAAAGGCCGTCTTGTAACGGTCGCTTGGATGAATCTGAATTTGCCAAAACCCAGATTTTAAATCGAACTTTGAGAACACTTTTGCAGAAGTGATCCTTTTCAGTAAATCCTGTCGATTAGGTATAGGATACCTAATCCATTTGAGGACTTTATTGAGCGGCTTGTAATTTATTACGAGCCTAGGAATTCCTCGTTCTTTCTCGGCCTGATTGTTTACGTAGAAAGCCGAACAAGACCAAGGGCTTTTGGAAGGACTGATTAATCCCTTCTTGAGAAAATCTGATATCTCGTCAGTACATGTTTTGACCAGATCTTTGCTCATTTGAATAGGCCGAGCCTTGGTAGGAATTTCAGCCTCTTTGAATCCATCAACATACGGTAGATTAACCATATGTCTCTTCCTATCCCAGAAGACATTTGGGATATTTGAACAAACTTCCTTTTCAAGCTTTCTTAGGAAGTTTTGAATTCTCTGTTGGACAGATGACATGTCGATTTGAATAGCCACTTTGCAGGTCTTTATATCGTCTTGAAGGAATTCAATTTGTTTTTCCTTCTTTGCGATACTATTGATATAAAGACTGATGTCTTCTTCAATTGATGAAATATATCTTGGAATTATCGGCTGACTGAATTCGAAGATAATCTCTTTGTTGAACTTCTTAGACACTATTCCTTTATCAGTGACTGAAAAAATATATAATTGAGTTAAGAAGGGGGTACCTAGTATGACTCCTTCATTAAGGTTTTTGACCAGGATGAAGGTATTGATAAGGCACACGTCGTCCTTGCAGATGTGGACCTTTGATAATTTATATTTGATATTCAACGGATTCCCACCGGCTCCGCTGAGAACTTCTTTGGTTTTTTCAAAGTATTTAGAAGGAACCAATCCTTCTTGGATGACGTTCTGATCGGCTCTAGAGTCGATAAGAGCGAATGTTTCCAATTGGAAGTCTCTGATTTTGAAAATAATCTTGGACATCCACTTCTGGTTTCTTTTGAAGAGCTTCTGCTTCAAGACTTTCCCGAAGTTTAACAAGACACATTCTTTTGGAGTCTTCATCGGGTAGTTGATCAATTAGATCAAAGAGAGCCTCTTGATCTTTATTGATGACATTGATATGGCCGTGGCATTTTCCAGCACAATGGCCAGTGCATGGAATAATTCCATCTTCTTCAGAGGAATCACTTTGAGAGAAAAAGGTCTCTTCGTCAGAATCTTCTTCGTTTATGAGGTTGATCTCATCATTGTCAGTGGAAGATTCGGAACTCGAGGAGTTTTCTTCTTCACTTCTGATGGCATAGAGAAGAGATCGCCGTGTTTTTTCATCTATGGTCAGAGAATTGATTTTGTCCTTTAAAGGGCATTTGCTAGAGTAATGTCCTTTGCGGTTGCACTTGTAACAAGTAACAGAGGATTTATGAGGACGATTCTTTGAATAATCCTTCTTTCCCTTGTTCCTGTTGTAATATTTCCTTTTACGTCGTGGTAATTCGGAATCTTTTGATTTACTCTTGCTAAAGAGTCGCTTGTTGGAAGACTTCTTTTTCTTCTTCCGTTCTTCCTCAGATCTGTCGTCAAGACCGTATTGTTTGCAAAAAGTTCCCAATTCCTTTCGGTAGTCGGGCTCTTTGATAACCTTGGCTGTATGCTTATTCTCTAGACAGAGATTAACGCATATTTGTTGAATCGTGGCATTAATGTCCCCGATTGTTAACTCCGCCCAATCGATACGATTAGTTGTAGAGTTTGTTACCACAGTTTGGTAGAATTTTTGAGCAATATAATGTGGAAGTCCTTCAACGAACTTTTGCTTCCAGATATCTGCTCCGCATGTTGTAATAGTATAAAGACGCGCCAAGAAGGTGTCTTTGTACCATTTGTAGTTACTCATCTTCCGACATCGAAGGCTTAAAAGAGCTTCGGCATTGAGATCTGAGTAGACTTGAGTGCTACCAATAAAATTCTTGGTCATTGCATAGATTAACTGATTTACCATGTCTGGCTCATCAATCTGCATTGCATTAGAACCTTCCTGCTTGACAACTGCTTTAGTTGCTATCAGGATTTTTGTTCTATCTTCATCGGTTAGTTGGTTATGCCACCAGCTCCTTAGGTTTCCAGAGAGACTCGAGATAAGGATTTGGGCTGTCTGTAAAACCGGCTTCTTGGTGCTGAAAGCAGTGGCTGCCATCATCATTTCTTGAAAAGTATTCATCATTTGAGCTTCAGAATATCCATCGATATTCCAAGTGATTATAGAAGATTCGTCATAAGTTCGTTGATCATGGCGGAGGTCGTCCCATCCCATATCCGGAGGAGATGGTCTAGGATAATGATTCTTCACTTCTGTGTGCATGGTGACCAGAAGTATTGTTGAGGATGAAGCCTGGGTTATAGTCGGTATAGTAGCTACTACATTTATACTCTTGGCCACTTCATTCTTTTGAGAAGAATCTCTTTTATTGAGGGACAAAGAAGAAAGTCTTCTGTTGATTTTAGCAAAAAGATCTGAGGGGTCTTCTTTGAGAGGTCCAATCTTAAAACTATTTGGTTGAAAGATTGGTTGACGGGGGTCTACTGGTGGGATTTTGGAGACGGTAGGAAGAACCAGATTCTCGATTCTTTCTACAGCTTTAGATACTTCGGAAAGGATCTTGTTTGAGTAGTTGAGTTGATGTTGGATGTTCTTAATTTCTCGAATACCAACTTTCTGGACCTTGTCTTCATCTATTGTTTTATAGGGTGAAGACACCATCTTTATGGCAGGTATCACCGGGTGAGAAAATGTAGCTTCTTCTTCCGGAGGGAAGGTGGAAGCTATTTCTTCGCCTCTTGCTGTGACCCAAACAGTGCCATTTTTGATGACTGCTACCTGTCCTTAGGCCCGGAGCTGTTTGACTAGAGCTTCGTTTTTAGCTAGCTCTCGTTCTTGCATCTTTGCAGTGAAATCGTCAATAGTCATGACGGGTTTCCTTGTTTCCTTTGGTGCAGCAATCCACATATCGATGTATTTGCTGTATAGTTCTTCATAACGTTTCTCAGGTTTTGAGATCACATTTATTTGATTGAAGGCGGATTCAGTTCTCCTTTCCATGTCGGATTGAGTTGGAGAGAGTGATCCTTCTTCATACTGAACGTCAGGGATCGGATGAGTGAAATCTACTGACGCTCGCATGGATTCAGATCTTTTAAAAGATCTGTTAATAGTGCTTACCGACCTTGTTTCTGAAGATATGCTTGGACGGCTGCTCATGACTTCTCTAATTCTGGGATATCTTGCTTCAGAATTGAATTGTACTTCGACATTTCCGTCTGGAAATTCGGTGATTGATGCCTCCGTATTAGTCCTTCTAACGGGGGCTGATACTCCTTGAAGTCTCAAGATAGTGTTTCTAGAGATTTCATCCTATCGAAGCGTCTTCGGAATGGTCATCGAAGATTTTTCGAGATTGACTTCCATTAGCATGGTGTAACCTTTTGGAGAGACACCAAGTGCTTTTGGAGAAAGGTTGGTATGCATCAATTTATAATAGATGCGATATGAAACAGCAAACGGGAGAGAACCGTCTTTGAGCTCCAATCCTTCAGAATGAACATCTAGACATAGAACGTCCATGATATTCTTATCTTGAAGAGAGACAGTAAGACCTGGTTTGCAGTTGAAATAAACTGGTCCTTGTACCAGATTTGATTCGACGATCCCTAGTAGAGAGGGAGTGAAGTTGAGATGTTTCTTACCCCGAAGGGTGAGATAAACTGGGACATCTAAGCCTTCTCTGAAGAGAGGCTTCAAAGCCACTTGAACGCATCCAATATGGAGGTATTTGAATTTGTTCCTGACTCTGAAGAGGGTTTCTTCAGGGAGAAGGGTGATCTCTGTGAATTCATCATTCATGGCCACATTCTTCTTGGTGATGATGATAACATCCTGCTGGGAGAAATTGAAGGTATTTGTCTTATATACCTGGTTTGGATCTATCTTGGGGATAGACCAATTTTTGAGACGATCTTTAACCTTAGCCAGATGGGCCTCAGCTGAATTATGTTCGGCTAAAATCTTTGAAAAATCATTTTCTGATTTTTGTTTGCTTGAAGAGGAGGAGGAAGAGGAAGCTGTATCGACGATAGGCTGAGAATGGGGGGAGATTTTCGAGAGGAGCTTAGACAGCATAGGAAGGGGGAAAAGGGAATCTGGAGATATCTAGGAGATGAAAATAAAATCTTACTAAGTTCATATTCTTTTATTTTGATAATAATCTATCCGTTAATTAAATCGAATTCTTTGATCAATCGATCTATATTCAAATCTCTTTATATCTCCTAACTAGAAATTCTCAATCATGAAGGTTAACCACGTCTTTATCATGATTTCTGAGAATAGATAGCTAGAAAATATCAAAAGATTGAACAAGAGAGATACCCGAATCAGATTTATTTAGAAGATAGGCTAAGAATCAAAAGGAAAGAATATAACCTTAGAGCGATATTAGATCCATCTTCCCTTCCACCCCCAGACTCAAAGAGGAGTTTACTCCATGAGAGAGAAAAGAAAAGAGAGAAAGAGTCGTGTAGGCTCTGATACCATTACGGGTCGAGCGCAAGTGCTCTTTATAGAAGAGAACCGATAATTGTATCCATTAAATTTGAAGTACTTTTCTTATGTACTCCTGAAAAACTTTCGCTTTCCATTCCCATAATAAGAAAAAGTTAATCTATTATTACAGTTCCAGTAAAACGAAAAAAATACACCGTTCAAAATAGTATTTACAAGCTTAATTTCATAAAATAGAAAATACAAAATAAATTAGTTATCAAGCAAGACCTCAAACACAACTTTATATTAACAAATTTTAACAGATTTTTCTACCGAAGAATTTAATTAATTTTTTTAATATATTAAAAGTAGAATGAGATTTGAAAAAAATTAAATACCAAATTGTGAATTATATAAAGATTAGATTAGCTAATATATTTAGAAAACAGAAAAGAAAAAAAATGAAAAACTTGATTGGTAAGAAATCACCGTTGCGAAGATGCTCACAAGAAACGCGCCTCTGGTTTGAACTTCGAAGTTCGGATTACATTCATTTTATATTCTTGAGAAAGAAATTTTGCGATAAAAAATTCGAGGAATTGGAAGTCGCAGCGGTGGAAAGAAATCGATCGAGAATATGGACGGCCCCCCTGCGGGCGATTTCTGTTCAATCTGCCATGGAAGTTTCAACATACCTTGCCAAGCAAATTGCTCGCACTGGTTCTGCGGTTGCCCCATACTTTATTCTTTTTCCTTTTCATACTCTTCTGTTCATAATTGCACTCTGGTTTTCCTCTTCTTTGCGTTCATTTTCATGTCTTTGCATTGTCCATTAGGTTTCTTGGAATTAGAGAAGTGGTTGGAATTTTTCCATTGTTCTGATTGTTCTGTTTTGGCTTCTCGAATTGTTGCGTCTTCCCTTTTCGACTAGGTTTCATTTCTTCTTAGACCTTCAAAAGTTCCCCGGAATAGAGGTTGAGATAGAATACACTAATCTTTCGGGAGATTATTTGCTTTCTGGCATACCCTTTGAAGACAGATTTATATGCCTGCAAAGAACTACTAAATGATTGAGGGTGGACATTGGAGACAATCCCATTAAATTGCTAGAGTTATCTAGTTTGTTGGGTCGAAAAAGGAATTTATTTCTGCAACTGCTTGTTTACTTGAATAGTTTTCCACGAGGGAAACTTTAAAATTTGATCATGTTCTATCTGTGTGATTTTCTAAGCCACATTTGTTATATGAAAGTTTCTTTGCATTGAATTATGAGATATGCATGAAATATTTGAATGTTGGAACTTGGAAGTGCTGTTTATACCCACTCCTATATTTTTGCATCATTAGTTGACTTAATATCCTTTTTATGATGTCTGTTTGTAAAGATTGAGAAAAAAAAGAGTTCAATTCTGCAAGTTTTAGTTTCTTTCATTATTTATTTTAGACAATTTACTTGAAGATTAAGTCTGAAATGAAGGTACTGTGATAATATTTTTATATTTTGTTCCTAATCTCTTAACTTGTAACTTTATGATATATTGCTAATTATTCTTTAGACAATTATGTTCCTTCTTATTCTCTGGCTTTTTATTTTCCCTCTTGGCAACACATGGGTTGAATTTCATAGTTTGAAAAAGATATCTATCATACAGATTTCTTGAGGGGAAGAGTATTTATGTGAGTTTAAATTTTAACAAGGCCTTAGCCTATGGTTTTCTTTTCATTTCTAGAATCGAATTAATGAGCTGAATTTGATAATTAAATTATTTGATTTTTTTGCCTCTCAGAAGCTCACTCCACTTGCTGCTTCTCTGTGTGCAGGAAGTTGTATAATGCTTGTTTGGGATCATGGATCATCACTCCAGCCATGTAAATGCCCCCTATGTCGCCGACAGATTACTTTATTGGTTCCTTCTGAGGCTTCAGCAAGGCAGCAAAGTAACCCTGAGGTTGCTCGAATTCTTAATAATATAAGGACTTATAACCATCATTTTGGTGACAACTCGGCTGGTTTAATTCAGGTATTTCTTTTCTGAACATAATTAATATACTGTTTAAATGAAAATGGAATGTTGAAAATGATTTGCCATGGAGAATTGACCATAGATAGTGCAGCATAGATTAATAGCAAGGGCAGGAAGAGTGATTCCGTGTACAGTGAGAACAATTAGGACCAAGAAACTGATAGGGAAATGGGCCAACGGTTCATGTTATTATATGGTTTGTTATTTCTCTTTGTGTGTGGGGTGGGTATTTGAGTGTTTAAAAACGGTAACAAACATTTTAAATTCTTATTCTAATAACTTAAGGCAAGTAGTGGAGATTGTAATCCATTAAATGTTATATAATTCAAACATACACACACATATAAATCTTGAAGTTATTTATTCATTAATATTTTGTATGTTTCATATAATTCGTCTATAGTAATAAACAATATATGAATGTTAATTACAAGTTATGCTCTTAAAAGAACATACAATATAATTTACATTTGAAAAAAGAAAGAATGAATGAAAAAACAGCTTACATCGAGAAAAATAAAAGAACACATGAGGGCCAGGGCAAGAAAGGAAACCCAGGACGAAAGGAGCCAAAAATACAAAAATCTATCCCAACTAAAAAATTACAGGTAATGGTTCTAGTTCAAAAGAATCTGAGATAAAAGATAACTGAAGGCCTCAGTAACATAGACCCAAAGACCCAAAGGGAGATGACATTGAATCAAAAGTCCCCAAGAACTCCTGCAACCTCTAAAAACTCTCTCATTTCTCTCAAGCCAAATATTTTCTAAGACCTCTGCCATAAATCAACATGATGTGCTACGAGTTAATGCACTCCAAAAGCCTTAAAAAATGTCTCAAATCATACCTGCAAGTTGACACAAAACATGCTCTGGGCTTACAAACATTGCACCATCGAGGCCTTAGAAGAACAAAAGACCATTCTAGATGAAGTCAACGGTGTTAATACATTGTGGGTAGCTATGTTAGACAATTGTTACAGCTACTTTCAGTTGGAGGTAAATCTAATCTAGCCTAATTGTGCTGTTGGGAAAAAATGAAGGAATTATACTTTTGTTCTTCCCTCACCCTAATCTATCTTTACCTTTTGTTTCTTTTCTGTTTTTTTAAACTCTCTCCCTTTGACAGAGCTCAATGTTTATTTATCAAAAGACTACAAGAGAGTACAAATTAGGGGAAGATTAGAGAGCTTTACCTTCTCTCCTGGACTCGACTACCACAGTACACTATAAGCACCCCTTCTATTTACCTTGCATTCTCTAAATAACCCCACAAGGCCATAACTCATGCAACCTACACCACAAGTTTTTACAATTGTGGCCCCGAACTAACTCACAATCTAAGTTGTGCCTTCCTAAAATTATTTCGACCTATCACCTTCTCTCCCATATCCACACCACTTCTCACCCTCCATCCCACCCCCTAAATCTCTCTCTAAAAAAATCAAAGATATTAATTAAATTTATAGAAATTGTTTAAATGAGTTAATATAATTTTAACATAGGCTAGCCTACCTAGGATTTAGTATCCTACGAGTTTCCTTGTCAACCAAATGTAGTAGGGTTAGGCGGTTGGTCCGTGAATAGTCGAGGTGCGCGCAAGCTGGCCTGGACACACGGATAACCAAAAAAAAAAAAAAATTAACATGGGCTAAAATAAACCATTAAAGATCCCACCAATTGAGCTAATCTATTTAACTTCATAACCTTGCGAATAATTTGAGAGATCAAGCACCAATGTTGTCAATGCTTTGTGAAGGTTGCAAAAGGAATTCTCTTGACTTTAGTAATAGAAGATGATATCATTTGCAATTGTAGTAGTAAGACGAAAATGACCTTAAAACCTTCATTTGAAGTTTTATACAGTCCTACGAACCTTAAAATGTTCAATTGAATTTTTCCTTGTTCTTTTGTCAATGAACTTTATTCAAGAAAGCCCAATCAACATGATAATAAGCTCTTTCAAAACTAATCTTGACCCCTAATTTTTGGATTTAGAGCCCTAAATAGCCTCATTAACTATCAACACCGCATCTAGGATCTGGAGCTTTTTCTTTAGAGTTCTTGTCAATTGAGATGATGTCTCATCCCCCTTCCTCATAATCCTCTATCGGAGATCCTTCCAATTCTTATATTGCCTTAGAACGATGGATTGAACCTCTAAATCTGGAATTGGTAAGATTGCTAAAGGAAATGATTTCTTGCGAAGAGGCTTGGGTTAGAAGAAAGTTGGAGCTGCAATCCGAATGGAAGGAGTTAGCTGATGGTTATGTTAAAGCTTTGGGTCTAGAAGATGAGTTGAGAGTTTAAATATTATTGAAGTTCAGTATTTTGGACATCTCAGTGTCCTTCTCTACCTCTCTTCATGCTCAACCATATCAGTGATGTATTGCAAGCTACTACGGCGAAGATGGGGAAACTTTCAGTAAAGATTGAGAATAAGGTCTTTACGTGTAGTTTAGACGAGAGAAAGGGAGGCGGCTTTGTGAAAATAGCTGAGAGACATGGTAGAAGATTTTTCGAAGTTTCCCTGGAAAAAGTTGCCACAGTTTGGATTGCTGACAGTGTTGAAGATCTATTATTGACTCCTCAAACCCATAAGTTCTTCAGGAAGACGAATTGCAACGGGGGTTTTATTTGGATACAAAAAACTTCAAACAAGAGAGGAAGCTTCTTGGAGTTGACGAAAGTTCAGAGTTCTGGAGGGAAAAAGAATATTGTGATCCCGTCGGATGAAGATTACAAAGGTTGGGCAACTTTCCGAAAGCTGCTTATCGATTTTTTGAATGAGGAAAAATCCATGAAGAATGGGACGGTTGGGAGTCCCTCCCCTTCGGAGACTCGCCCAAGGGCTTTGAAGCAGAAGTCTTTTGCTGATGTTCTAAGAGCTAAAGTGCAGAAAGCAGATAAGCAGACCATGTCCTTTAGTCCATCGTGGAACGTTTTAAGTACTGCAGGTGCAACAGAGGTTCGCAGCCGAAACTGGGAAGACACCATTGTGGTGACGCGCAGAGACTTTCACGATGATTGGGAGAGAATTCGGGGAATAATCCAAGAGCAAACTAAAAGCAAGCTGATCATCAACGCCTTCCAACCGGATAAGGCCCTGCTCAAATGCTCAACCTCAGAACTTGCTCGTCTTCTCCTAAAAAACAGAGGATGGGTTACTTTTGGGCCTTTAACTCTAAAATTGGAAGCCTGGAATCCGCATCTACATGGGCGCTCTTTCGTGGTGCCTTCATACGGGGATTGGGTAAAAGTGAGAAACATTCCCCTGCACTTATGGAGTTTGGCAACCTTTAAGGCTATAGGAAATGCTTTGGGAGGTTTTCTGGACTACGCCAGCATTAATTCTTGCCTTATTAATTGCTTGGAGGTGGCCTTAAAGGTCAAAGGTAATTATTGCGGGTTCATTCCAGCAGAAATAACTCTTGTTGATGGTTTACAATCGTTTCAGGTGCAGGTGGTATCTTTCGAAATTGCAGATTTCTTGGCCGGAAAAGTCATTGGAATTCATGGCGGATTCTCGCCGGAGGCAGCAAGAGCGTTTTACGAAGCTGAAAATAGGGACTCAGAGCATAGTACAGCGGATGTTTGGAGAATGCAGGATGGACAGCATTACCCAGTGGTGAAAATTTGGTACCCTTCCTGTGTGACCGGTCAAACAGGCAGCCCCTCTGATGCCCCTAGTTTGACAGATTTGACATGAGCCTGCCCCCCACCTTTTGTCAACTTTTTGCCTCAAATCGAAGCAAATACAGGCTCACAGACCAAAGCAAAGGACAAAGGAAGGCCCATGACTCAAAACCTTCAAAATTTTGTCTTTTCCACTAAGCCGGGGCCCACCAAGCCTTTAGATGATAAGGCAGTTCAGTTGACCCTTATCGGGATTTTCAAAAACTAAAAGGCAAAGGTAAGGCTGTTTCCTTTTCAAATAAAAATCAGACCCGTTTTTTTCATAAAAAAGGAAAGATACACTCTACAGATGACAAAGGAAGCGACAAAGATTCAGAAAAGGAAAAAAAAGGGGAAACAGACTCTGAGACTTCAGCGGAGAGTTTCAGTAGCGAGGAGTTAGAATGTGTTGAAGCAACCCCCTTAACTGTAGATCAGGAAGAACTACCAGAAGGTTTTTATGATTGTTTCAAAGAGGTGGATGATTTGCAGCTTGCAGATAAGATGGTAGAAAGGGACCTGCCCATTTGTGAGGATTCCCAAATAGATATGATAGATTCCTCAAAGATTCAAAGGGAAAATCAAGTAGGTGTAGTCAAGCAAAAAAATGATAAACTAGAGAAGGAGGTCATGGACTCCTCTGAAGATGAAGAGGATGATAGAACCAGACACCCGTTCTAAAAAAAATGGTTAGAGATTTGAAAAAGTGGCATATGTGCATTAAACCCATCTCCAACAAAGGAAGCGCATCGGTTAAAAAAAAGACGAGGGAGATTACTAATTATCTTAGATTTGTAGAGAAGGAGCTTGAAGCTGAAGAGATGCAACTGCAAGTAGAAGAGGGCCTTTCGTGTGTCCATGAAAATTGTCTCCTGGAATGTCAGAGGGCTTGGCGCTCCCCCCAAAAGAGTGCTCATCAAAGCTCTGTTGTCAAACGCAGGGCCGGATATAGTCATCCTTCAAGAAACTAAGATAGCTTTTTTCGATAGAAGGTTGGTCAAAGCCATTTGGAGCTCGAGACATGTCGGTTGGTCTGTGCTAGAGGCAGAAGGCTCTTCGGGTGGAGTTATTGTCATGTGGAATCAACGCACAGTACAGGTGATGGATTCCATTCTTGGTATTTTTTTGGTTTCAATTCTAGTTAATTATAAAGACTGCTTTCAGGGTTGGGTGACCCCAAAGGAAGAGACGATTTTTGGCAAGAAATCATCGACCTCAGTGGCTTGTGCTCAGACTTATGGTGTATAGGCGGAGATTTTAATGTTGTTAGAAGAATAGGGGAGAAGTCAAACGGGGGAAGAATGACAAGAAGCATGAAGAATT